GGTGTCCGCCCCACCCTCCCCGTGCAATAGGCCGAGCGGCCATTTGGTGCCGCCGCGGGGCATTACCCCGGGCAGGACCCTCGGGACATCCGTCAAAATTGGAGCGATACAGAGAAGTAGCATGGCTCGCGCCCAGGGTGACGCGCATAGATCAGGAAAAGGGCCGACGGCCAGACATTTCCTGTTTCTGACACCCAAGTTTTCGTCGGACTGCGCAGCATCCGGGGACCGGGTTGACGAGCGCTAGGCACGGGAAGGCGAGGTAGAGAGACGGATAGCGGAGCGCTACAGTTGTCGGGCTGGCCACTGCAGTATGGAGTATCGCGGGCAAAGGTGGAGGAGCGACGGGGCACTAAGGTGAGGCCACAAAGAGAGAGGTTGAACCTGGACGGGGGCCAAGGCAGGGGCCGATTGAAGGGAGAGCAACAATGAACTAAGCAGGAACGAGCAAAGCTAAGAAACTGAACTCGGGCGTGGCGCACAGCCGGGTGTATGCAGAATATAGCATGGCTAGGTGAGATAGAGARTTAGCAGGGACTGCGACGAGCCAGCGAGGGGGAAGCTCGCAGCGATACTGATGTGCAAATCATCTCGTCAGGCTTGAATATAGGGGCAAAAGACCAATCGAACCATCTAGTGGCTGGTTCCTTCCGAAAATTCTGCAGATCGGACCTCGTTTCCTAGAACCGCCTTCTACTGCCTGTATCGTTCGACAGCGTTGTGGTGTCCACTTCGGAGCGTTAAGGCTGTGGGGAGCTGCGTTAGCAGCAGGAGGCTATGGGCCGGGCGCTGAGCAGTCGGCCGCGGTGGGGGAATGGCACTAGGCGCTGTTAGTCGGGAGAAAGAGGAGACGAATCCGGACGGTGGTAGGCATCGGGTGCATTCGGAGATAGTAATGGCGGATGGCAAGGCAGTGCATGGTCAGCAGTAAGGAAGCAGGAGAGAGACTGCGGACGGCTAGCAAGCGAGGCGGCAAGCGAGGCGCTAGGCAGTGAGTGGGAGCAGACAAGCTGCAGAGGGAGAATGCACTCGGACGCTATCTGCGTCCCGATTCATTCGCAGGGGTGCAAACGATAAGAGTTGAGAGGAATGGACAGGGAGCAGTCAGGGAGACGCGGATCTTTCGATCCATAGTAGAAACAGGAGGGGCAAGACGCTATCCCGAGGTTTTAACCCCAGACGAATCTGAAAATGAAGTTAGTTTTGAAGAAGGATTAGTGTAGGACGAGATAAAGAAGAATTAGACTTCGCGGAGCTATGGCGAACAGAAGGGAATGGAGGAAGAAGGTGCGATAGTACGGTCATTTCTTGACCGATCTTGTCGAAGTAAAGTTCGATTTTTGGGGTTTCTCAATAGGGCGAATCTGGCGGGAATGTTAGTTTTGGCTATTGAGTAGTGGAATAAGAGTTAGGAAAAAAAAATACAGTGCGCGGACGGGACGAACAAGTGAGCATGGTGCAGTGGAAAAATAAATAACCCGCCCGTTCCTTCACGAAATTGGGAGAGTAAGGATTCGATTCCGAGAGTTTTTGACCTCGTGAATCGGTCTGTGAAGTCAGATTTGGCATTAGAGTTACGGTTTCGGGGCTGTAATAACTTTGGGCTGTGCCAGGGAAGATTTCTACAAATGGTGATGAATCTTCCCGCACTTTAGCGAAAGATCCATTCGTTTTTTTCGTCTTGCTCTTTCTGGTACGAACTCGAGCGAGGCTCGGCCCTCTGTAGTAAACGGGTGTGTAGAGAAAGGGGGAGGGTAGGACGTTCTTACCTTATGGCAACGCGCAGAGATAAG